GGGGGGGGGGGGGGGGGGGGGGGGGGGGGGCTGTAGGACCAATGACGCAAATTGTCTGTCGAAGGTTCTTCAATTTTATTATTTTTAAGTTATTGGTCAAAATTACATTTCATTGTTTTGTTTTTTTTCACGTTTGATCTCGTCTCTTCATCACCCCCGCCCGCCCTCTCTCTCTCCCTTCTGCCTCGACGGGTCTGGTTGACAACAACGCGTTTCTTTGCGAGTCAGTTACCTCGTCGTCAACTTTCGCGGCAGGCTGTACGTGCAAAGAAAAGAACGTTACGAAAAATCGTTTCAGAAAGAACAGCAGCAATTGCGCCTGACGGGACATTCGTAACGATCAAGCCACCCGCCCAATCAGCGGACGAGCCGAAAGGCGCGACTCGAGGCCAACATAGCCGCACTACTCGGGCCGACGTGATTACTGATTGTTCTAGAGGACCCAATACCTCAGCAGCTGGTTCTGGTTCCTTCCAAGAATACGAGGGCGAGAAATAAGATGAAAAAAATCTTACTAACAAAATCAAATACATAATTTGCTTAGATTAAAAAAATAAATGAAATGATCTTGTGTGACGAATTGCAAAGAACTTACAGATGGCACCGGTTTGGCTGTTTTTCTGGGCTCGTCCTCTGTGGGTTTTTGTTGTCCGTCGGATATTCTATCCTGGTTCAAAGACATTTATTTTAATTAAAAAAACAAAACAAAACAAAACATTGATTGGTACAAGCGCAAGTCGTTTTCCTGCCCCACCTTGCTGTGAATTTCTCTCTCTTGACTTCTGTTCTTGTCTTCGCCGTCTTTGCGTCTTTCTGCCTCTTTGTCGCGCTCTCGCCGTTTGTCCCTGCTCCTTTCGGTGTCCCTTCGGACGGATTCTCTCTCTCTCATTCTGTCTCTGTCCCGACTCTTGTCTCGATCTCTTTCGTGCTCTTTGTCCTTCTCCTTGTCTCGGTCTTTCGCGCTGCCTTTGTCTTTGTCTCGTTCGCGGCTCTTGTCTCGCTCGGCGTCTTTGGCGCGGTCCTGCTCGCGCCGCTGGTTCTTGCCCGAGCGCTCCCTGTCGTGGCGGTGGTCTCGCTCGCCATCTCGATGCTGCCTTACCCGCTCTCTGCGCTGGTCCGGGTCCTTGTCTTCTCTGCTCCCGCTGCGCTCGATCCTCTTCTCCTCCTGAATACGTCCGAAGCGAAAATTGAAAAATGAAACATTGAATGACAATGCTTGTGGAAATGCGATTTGTTTACCTGTCTTTCCACTGGTCGATGCTCACGCCCTTCTCGATTTTCTTTGTCTTGGGACTTGGTCGGGGCCTTGATTTTCGAGTCCACCTTCTCTCCGGAAAGTATTCGTTTCACCGCCTCCTCACTGGACAGCTTTGGATGAAATATTTGGAACTCTTTCAATAGGAAACGAGACTCAAATACCATGCGAGTGACCTAAACTGCAGGGAATCTTTTCCAGAACATAAACAAACAACTGCCTATTCCCCAGGTGCCACTTTATCTCCTCGTCCACCCACTCCTGGGTTCAATTAACCGACTTCATTGTTCTCCCCGAGGAGGCCATTTCAGACTTTGTCCACAACATTCAGACGCTCAAAAATGAATGAGGTGCGTGGAATAATCTGGACTGAACAAACCTTGTTGAGACAGCACTTGGCAATAGCCTGCAGCAGCTCATTGGTCTTCTCGGGCTCGTGGCCGGCCACGATGCGCGCCGGCTTTGCTGCCAGGGACTCCCCGCTGACGAGTATCACAACATCGATGGCTTTCTGAAGGAAGGCTATCTTAGTCTCCTTGTCCTACGAGGCGTGGGAAAAAAAGTCAGTGGTTTGAATCTTTGACCGGCGAAGGTATCGGGTGTACTCATGCTGAACTCGGCATGAACTGCGTCACCACACATAAACTCTAAAGAGACACCGTTTCCATGTAAGGTGAGATTAATAGCCTTGTGCTGTTGATCACTTTAGCGACTGGCGAGTAAAATGCTCAGCCAAGACTTCAAGTGCGCTTGGCCATAAACAAAAGCCAAGTGATGCTTTATTAAATGTGTGAGAGACATTGAATGACAAGAGTCACACAACGGGACTGAAAGAACAGATCGCTCATCAAAATTGACCGTAAAATGAACATAGCAGAGAGCGCAACCTTACCTTGACATTATCGGACTTCAATTCACTGTCTTTGTACAGGCCTTTCATGAAACCGGTGGTTCTGATGATCTGAAAGTGGGGAGAATAGATGGAAGACAGTTTTTTTCTCCTGCTCTGAGGGGAGCCTCAGTCATCCTTTGTGTATTTTGACAGGAATATATCTTACATTAAGAGTCGGGTTCGACCGATTAATTGGCCGGACAATTAATATGGCCAATATTTGCTCTTTTATAATTTGCAAAAATCTGCCAATTTTTAGCCGATTGTGTTTTTATCCCTCCCCACACAACAAAAGGCAACAATAATGACAGTCAAACATCCCCACATATCTTTACTGTTGTAAGCATTAAGGGCCTATAAAAAAAATGGTTATTAAATTCACTTGATATCTTTTTTTTAGATGAATCAGGCCCTAAATAAAACATTTGGGAACACTTTTGACCCGCATATGCTGACACATTGTGCTTTATCAAATATACATGTGGCCGCAGTGAAATACAACACTAACTACCTGAAGAAGAGTGTTGGTGTCTCTATTTAGAAGTGGAAACTTAAATTACTGTGCTTGACACCGATCTTATGTGCCATTACGTCTTGGGAAATCTTTGTATCTACTGGTATACATTTGGGGCTATTAGTGCTAGCTAATAGCTGTGTTCGACATACACTGATTACGTACACCCTTACATTCCAATGTGGTCCAACATAAGGAATTTAAAAGTAAACATCTCCGAATAATGCTCATTTTTTACGGCCAAAATGGGTCCCAACATAGAGCCTTGAGGAGCACCTGCTGTGCAACTTGCAAACATTTATCACCCACTTGAGCACAGTGATTCCTATTACTGCTATTATTATACAGTAGATTAACAATTATAAATTGATGGCCTAGTGATATACCCGATTTGACTTCGAAGCAGGCAGCATTGGCACAGTTTCCACTCAGTGACGGTGTGAATGTGAGTGCAAATATTTGCCCATCTGTATACGTGCCAATGTCAACTGTTTTTTGGGGGGTTTGTTTCTTGGGGGGGGGTGGGAGGGCGAGATTTTCCCAGTCAGCTATATCAGAGATGTTTCTAATAAAGTGTCGGGAATTACATTTTGGACGACCACTGCTCTTTCGTTCTCTCCTCTTATACAGTTAACTTAAGATTGGTTTTATGCCGAATTTTAAAGCACCTGGCAGCGATCGGTTCAGTTGCGATCCCTGAAGCGCATCTAGCAACGCTTGACGACAACGTTGTTTGCGTTGTGTCAATGGCAACCAGAGGACATAACCCAACGCCCAATTTCTCGTACTAATACTCGCATTGCTTGCCGCTGCTGTATCGAAGCAGCCCAACGGAAGGTTTCCCCAAAAATAAAATAATCAAGCATTTTATAGTCTCTACATTGCGAGCGAATTAACATGGCTAAGCGGTACTGCTAGCGAGCTAATACTTTTCGATGAGCTCGCGTGCAGACGACCTTAGTTTGGTTTCATGCTTGCCATTTTCACATATGCCAAGAATATGAGCATAAACGTCCCATTTCGCAAAAACATGCCCGCACCAGTCTCACCTCATTGAAGATGTCGTGCAAGTATCGAAACGGTGGTTTGCTGAGCAGTTTTTCTGTCAGCGGTGGTTTCTTTATCACTTTTCCGAGCGCCTCTTGCGTCTTTTTAACAACACTCTCGTTCATTGCAGCAGTTTTCAAAGAAGAAGACAGGAAGCAAAATAAAAAGCGCGGACAATAACGAAGCCAATTGCTTCTGTATGAATACTAAGCAGGCTATAAGTCCGCGCTTGCGCATTGGAGAGGAAGAAGCGCTCGCGTTCCTCTTCTTCTACCAACTTTGCAGTAGTTTGGATTGACAAAGCTACCGACACTGCCCCCTGCCACCGCCAATGGCAAACACAATCGAGTACCGTACTGCGTTCACGTTCATTTCCCTTTGGGGGTTCATTTACTGAACAGTTTTTATTAAAAAAATACATTTGAAAATATGAATTAAAATCAGGATGCAAAAATACATGTTAAAACAAATACAAAATAAATAAAATAAATACAGGTAAGAAATAAATTCAAACGTACATTGTAGCTAATTGTTCACCTGACTTCCACGATATTGTTTTCGGCCAATTGAAGTTATAAGTCAGTTATGCTGCGTTCACGTTCATTTCCCTTTGGGGGTTCATTTCCTGAACAATTTTTTATGAAAAAAATACATTTGAAAATATGAATTAAAATCAGGATGCTAAAATACATGTGAAAACAAAGCATATAAAATACAGGTAAGAAATAAATTCAAACGTACATTGCAGCTCATTGTTCACTTGACTTTCACGATATTGTTTTCGGCCAATTGAAGCCATAAGTCAGTTATTAAATAAATTCCTATTTTAAACATTGAAAAATGACAGATTATACGTGGATAAATTGGCACTCTCCAATGAAGATTATGACGTGCGTGATGGGGCAGCATGACGTCACGAGCCATTAACGTGACGAAATAAAGTCGAAGTAATTATTTTCACTGGCTCCTCGGCAGTTTAGTGATCTCAGAATAAGTCCATAAAGAGAAAGGAAACAACGAATATTTGTTGGTCGAAAATAATGGCCGCTGTCAACAGTTTAGTAATCAAAAAAACGCAAAGCATGCTGGGCAAAGTGATAAAGAAACCGGCTCTCACTGAAAAACTGCTCAGCAAACCGCCGTTTCGATACCTGCACGACATCTTTACCGAGGTGAGACATTTATGCAGAGTAAGTAACGTTGAAAGCTAGGAAACTATTAACATTTGCATAAGGTACGTTAATTGTCACAAACCAAAGGCATCCCGTGCTTGTACTTCCTGCTGGACAACGTAATATGATCGTATTTACATCATATTACTGGCAGAATGCAGGACATGATGTTGTTGAAACACGAAGTAACCAATAGGTGGTGCTATTACTTTGCATTAGACTGTAAGGAGTACAGACCTTTTTTTTTTTTTGCATGTGACTAACTAGGCGCCAAGATCCATCTATCGATCCATCTATCTATCCGTCCATCTATTTATCGTGAATGTATGACTTATGGGAGGCTACAATTTGCTTTTCCCCAAAAGCAATATGTCAGCAATTCGTTCATCAAGCTGTGAAGTTGAATCCAACAAATCTTTCCGTGATGACCAAGTGAGATTTGAGTACCTCGCAGCAATGTACGGCACCCATGTTGATACCTTGCGTCCACCTTCACCAGATCATCAGGACCACTGGCTTTATGAAAGGCTTGTACAAAGACAATGAATTGAAGTCAGAATGCATCAAGGTAAATTGGACCAACATCCAGAAACCTTCCTGCTGGTGGCTAGTAAATGACCATTTTCAACTTTTAGGACAAAGAGATGAAGATGGCGTTCCTTCAGAAGGCAATCGACGTTGTGGTGCTGGTCACCGGGGAGCCCCTTGCGGTCAGACCGGCACATATTGTCGCCGGTCATGAGCCCGAAAAGACCAACGAGCTCCTGCAGGCCATTGCCAAGTGCTGCCTCAGCAAGGTTGGTCCGCCCACCCGTGGTTCTTGAAGTCCTTAAAATGTCAAATGGCGGACCTTCATAGTCACTGGAAGGGACGCAGCCACGATGACATGTCTTCATGTGTTCCTCAGATGTCCAGTAAGGAGGCTGTGAAGAGAGTTCTTGCGGGAGAGAGGCTGGACGTGAGGGCCAAGGACAGCACGCTGAAATCCCAAGACAAGGACGCTGCGGAGGGACGCCAAGCGCAGCCTGACAGAGAGGTTGGTGCACGTACGCTTTTGCAAAAATACTCAAAATATTTTTTTTTGTTTTGCACTGTCGTGGTATGTGCGTGTTTTGTCATGTAAAGTGTGGCTGTTGAAGCCTTTTCCAGAATGCCGCTCAGCGCTTGATGGTGTCACTTTTCAGGGAACAATTAATTCACTGTAACACGTTTTGATAACCACTATTTCCTACTATCGAGTTTCTTTGCATTCACCTGTTTATTTTATTTATTTTTTAACGGCTGACTCGGTTTGTCATCCGCATCCACGGCGCTTTTTTTTTTTTTTTTTTGACACTTAGAAAAAAAAAATCATCCGGCATCCACGGCAATCACGGCCTGTCACGTTTTCCCATACTGTCGCTTGCGGTTTTGTCCAAAATGGTCGGAAATGGTGCTCGGCAACATTATTAAAACACGACCTAAGAACCGTGATTAGCAATAAACCTTGCACGTATTTTGAATGATTCCAGGCCGACCCCGAGACCTCAGAACGTAGTTTGGATCCAGGTCGTCTCCGCCCTGGAAGTGGCCAAAGTCCCAACGCGGATCAAAGCGCGAGAGACTCAAGACGGACGTTCCCGAAAGCAGGTCGTGTGGCGTTTTTTTTTTTTTTTTTTTTGGACACTTAAAAAAAAACAATCATCCGGCATCCACGGCAATCACGGCCTGTCACGTTTGCCCATCCTGTCGCCCGCGGTTTTGTCCAAAATGGTCGGAAATGGTGCTCGGCAACATTATTAAAACACGACCTAAGAACCGTGATTAGCAACAAACCTTGCACGTATTTTGAATGATTCCAGGAGAAGAAGATGACGGAGCCTATCGAGAGCGGGGTTGAGAAGGCGCCAGAGCCGCCCCGAGAGCAAGAGAAGCACCGTCGAGACGGCGAGAGGGAACAGCGTCCTGACAGGGAGCCTTCGGCCAAGAACCACCGGCGGGAGCAGGAGCTCGCTAAAGATGGCGAGCAAGAAGACAAGAGTCGCCAACGCCAGCGAGACAAGGCTAACGACGACGCGCAAAGCAGCGAAAGGGAGCGGGAAAAGGAGAAGGAGAAAAGTCAAGCCAAGGAAAGCAGCAAGCCGAGAGAGAAAGAGAGGGACAAGTTAAAAAGCGCAGAAAGCGAGCGACACAAGCCGTCTTTGTCACAGACCGAAAGTCCGGCAAGAACGAGTCAGCCGTCCTCCGCCAAAGGGCAAAGAAGGAAAAACACTTTGGGAGGTACGCTTTTCATTCCCCTTCAATGCAAGGTGTGCAAATGAAGGCAGCGCCCGATGACGTTTTTTCCGTCACGATTGCTTGCCGGATGGCGATGTTGTGGTTGCGCGAACCGACTTTGCGTTCTCTTTTGTCAACAGATGAATCCAACAGCGAAGTCGGCGGTAAGTCTTCCTCTTTTTATGAAGTGAAAGAAATGTCGCGAGAAAAGAGAGCTCCTGCACTCGCAAAAACAGTCCTGCCGCGTTTCGGCGGACGCTCGACAAAGGCCCAATTTGGAATTGCGCTTTCGTCTACTCCAGACAAGTCAATCATCGTATGGACCTTTCACGGGTCCCCAACACAACTCCACAAAATACATCCAGACACAAAATTCGGAAAAACGATTCCCCCTACACCAGTTTCAAGGGGGTGGTGGGGGGTTGCTTCCCCCCCCCCATTTTTCCAATTTGTCCAATTGATCAATTAGGAGCCGGCGCTGGAATTGAACCTGGACCCGCTAACCACTGGACCACCGGGCCCCTTCAAAATATTCATCTAATAACAGAAAAATAATTTATGAACATTTTTTTTTGGGGAAAAAAAGTCCATTTGCCTGAAGTAACCTTAATGGATTGCCATGACCTGGAAAACTGGGAATCTTCACACTGTTTCACTGCCATAAAGTTTGTTAAAACAATTTTGGGGGGGGTAATTCTTTCAAAAATGTGGACATATTTGGTCCAATAATTTGATGATTGCCAATTACAAAGCAGACATGAGGGCCTGATCATGGGAAATCCTGTCTTGTGTAGGTGTATCTAATGAAGTGTCTTTCGAGTGCAAACTGAACTTTGAGCTACTTGTTCACCCCCCCCCCCCCCCCCAAGACCCTCGGGAGGATGCGAGTCCTCCTAACAAGGAAAGCGGAGACGCTACCGACTGCTCACTTTCATCAGACGTGGCCTCCAGGTCTGTGGCGACAGCAAGCAAAGTTCCGAATCAATGCCGCGCCGCTGACGCCTCTTTGGTTGCCTAGCAACAACCGCCCGGCGAGGCCCAGCAGCGCTCGTCCGGCTCCTCCTCGAGTCAAGAAACAGGAGAGCTCGGCTGAAGCGCTCGCGCCCGAGAGGTGACGTGGCTTCGGGTTCTTTTCCTCATTCTTGCCCGTCGAAAAAATCGCGCCGTTGCGCAAAGCGGTTCCCGCGGTTCGAAATGTGACGACGTCCTTCTCCGTCGGCAGGCTTTCCAGTGCCAAGTCGGCAGTCATCAGAGAAGGAAAGAAGCCATCTGACGACGAGGAGGATGAGCAGTTCCTGGTGGCAGAGGCGGCCCCCGACCCCGCGGAGGCCGCGGACCAGGTCGCTGATCGACTGGCCCCCGAGCGGAACCGTTCGCATCTTTTGCGCTAGCGTTTGTCCTCATTAGGAGGGCCACCCGGAGCTGACCTTGAGCGAGAGGCGGCAGGGTCCGCCCCCGGACTGGGGACATGGAGACAAGCGGCCATTCACGCCAACTTTTTAGAGTCTTCAATGAAAGCCCAAAGGAGATTTTTTTGTGTGTGTGTCATCCAGTGTCTTTTCTCTTCCAGGAATCTGCACAAGACTTCAGGAGTGAAGAAAAACACGGTAGGTTGTTTTCCTTTTTCAGTTTCTGTCCAATCGTCTTGTCTAATGAGAGCTTCGATTCATGCAGGCGGACTCGTGAAAAAGATCCTCGAGACCAAAAAGGACTACGAACCCTCGCCAAACTCCAATAAATCAAAAGAGGTATTCGTAGCATGAAAACATTTTTTGGGAGGGGGGGGGGGTTGCCTCAAACACCAGAATGGCTCTCAATGGCGGCTCTTCTTGTTGTCTTGTTTGTTAAAGAGGGAGGAAATTTCATCTGTGCTGTAGCTGCAGCACATTTGACAATAAAGTTGGACTTGATACCTGATACTTGATAACCCCCCCGCCCCCTCCCCAAAAAAAACAGGTCGTGTGTGAGAAAGTCCCAATTCGTTTTCCACCAAAGGGCCGCCGCACACCGAGCAACGCAAAAGAACAAAAGTCGGCGAGCTTGACCTCAGCCGTTGTTTTCATGTCTTGCGTGTGTCCGAAGCTGGTGTCGGAGGAAGCGCGGAAGAAAGAGCAGGACCTGGTCACGCGGGAGATCGAGCGTCTGCGCGTGTCCATCCAGTCGGTGTGTCAGAGCGCGCTGCCTTTGGGCAAGATCATGGACTACGTGCAGGAGGACATCGACGCCATGCAGGCCGAGCTGCAGAGCTGGCGCAGGGAAAACAAGGGACCGCACAGTAGCGCGTGGGCCTGTTCTAAAAATAGCTCGCCAATGTGACATGTCTAATTCTCTTTGTGTTTGTTACTAATCCCTGAAAAATGGCAAATCTAGCCCACTGGCGGGCGGCACGGTGGACGAGCGGTTCACACCTCGGCCTCACGGTGCAGAGGTGCAGGGTTCGATTCCGGATGGGATCTCCGCAACTCCTTCGTAGAAATGCCCCAGACACATCAAGGGCAAAAGTGAAAGCCTTTGGCCTCGGTGAAATGTCGTTTCAGATATCGGCATTTTCTTTTCATTTTCACGCCAGGCAAACCCCAATTACCGAATCTCTGATGCGTCCACTCGTCAAGTAACGTGACAACTCCAACTGCTGAAATTGGGATTACGACTCGGTAGTCAGAAAGACGTCATTCCGGTCATTTATCTTCTCAGCGTTTGATCCGCTCGCCGTATACAAAGAGAGACCGGAAGAGTCACAGAAAGACTCCGTTGTTCACAGTCTGTCTATAAAACGCCGCGATGAACCGGCCTTGTTGTCGATAAATGGCGAGCGTGCACGTACGCGGGCTACACAAACGAAACCCTTTCATGCTTGCGCAGAGTCACCGACCAGGCGGTGGAACCGCTCAAGGCGGAACTGGGCGAGCTGGACCAGCAGATGAAAGATTACCAGGACAAAATTTGTGCCGTGAGGTCCAACATCCTGACGAACGAGGAGAACATCCAGAAGAAGTTGGCCGCGATCATCTCTTCCAGATCCTGAAAGGACAACGGAGCACAAAGCACGTTCTCTCTTACGTTGCGGAGCCATCCAGACGAATTTTTGGGCCAATCACGGCAGACTCGAGTCAATTAAGAGTTCAAAGCAAACATGGTGAAGCGGCATTCGGCTGTCGTGCTGCGCACCAATGGAAGACGCTGCCAACGGAAATGAATTGTGCTCATTTTTTGGAAGCTCGTTTTGTGTCCTCCGCTTTGCTTGTGAACGCGGTTGGCTGTTGTGTCGCAAATGTGCCGCAGAAATCCCGCCGCTGGCCTGGCCTTGCCTCACGCCGCTCTCGTTTGTTTTCATGGATTCCCTCAATAAACGAGTGCGGCGGCACCGCCGTGGTCAACATTCTTGCGGCTTCCGTTTGTGCCAGGAGGGAGCGGAGCGGTTTATCTGTCGACGGAGGTCACTCATAAGCGTGCGCCTCAGCTCATTGGAAAGAACTCGAAGGTTCTCGTTATTTCGCACTTGCTTGAAATCAGCGAAGAGCAGGAAAAAAAATGTATATAGGTCAGTAAGCTGGATTCATCTCGCTCTTAATTATTCACACTTTGCTGCGTGTTTTTCATCTCAAGCAAGCGCCAGGCTGCTTTTCTCAACTTTTGAAGCATTCCATCTGGATGTTTTTTTTTTGTTTTTTTTTTTACTTCACCCGGATTTAACAACAAACATGCACCGCTCTCTCTTACATTTTGTGGCTGACATTCTGCATTGAAAATATTTGTTCACATCTTTGTCCAACTCTGCCTGCTACATTCAGATGGCAACTGATTTAGATTTAAAACGCTTCTTTGTCTCTGCGCCGTGCCTGGCGACCAGTCCTGGGCGTAGCCCACCTCGTGTCCCAAGTCAGCTGATTTACAAAGTGGCAAAAATGAAAATCCTACGAGAACGTGTGTGTGTGTGTGTGTGTGTGTGTGTGTGTGTGTGTGTGTGTGTGTGTGTGTGTGTGTGTGCGCTAACTCCCATTTCATGAGACGTTTGAATGAGAGTGATCGGTTGTGAACATCCCGGGTGTGCAAACTTTTGCAAATATATCTTACAGCATCTCTAAATACACTGTCGTCATCTCGGTTATTTGAAGTACATTTTGTGGGGTTTTGCATGTGTGACAATTCATTTTGATGCATCGGCTCACAGATGTTGTGCTTTTTTTTTTTTTTTTTAGTCTTGAGGGATTTCACCGTTCTGTTCGTAATATTGCGATAACGTGACAACGGTGGTCACTTGGCGATGATAATGAAGGTGAAAAGGAAATCAAATCGATTTCCAGTCTGCTTCATTGAGCCGGGTGATGGTATCAGATCTGGATTTGCTCCCCGGGGCATGACACACACACACACACACACAACCCCCACACACACGCACACACACACACACACACACACACACACACACACACACACACACACACACACACACGCGCGCGCGCAGGCAGAGATGTTGAAGGACAGTGTGCCACATTAGCATCGCCCTTAAAATGCAAATCATCTCGCCATCCAATTTATCAGGATCGAGTGTGACCTTAAGAGTTTTGCAAAACCAAAGCAGACACGGCGCAAAGGAAGGAACCAACCCGTCGGCTTGTTTTGGACGATCGTCATCATCCGTCGCTGATCTCCACGGTAAATATTTGCCGTGGCAGACGTTAGCACTTGAAACACGGGGAGACGCCAGCCTGTTGAACGCGACAAAAGCCGCCCGCTGGCATTTTGGAAGCGCACTAATTGGCTCATTATCTCCAGCTTGCATAATAGGAAGTAAACATGACGCGGACGACGTGAAATTAATGAATTCCCCTTGTCCGTCTTGCTTGGGGTTAATCCTGCGGTGTTCGGGAGCGGGCGACGGACGTGGGGAAGCGCGACACGGCGCTGCAGAATTAAAAGCCACATTTTGAGCATCCGACGGTACTTTTTTTTTTCGTCCTCATTGTTCTCAGCAACTGCGAGATGCCGAACGGGCATTTGCACGCGGCGGCGTATCTGACGATCGCTTGAATGCTGGCTTGCAAGCCAACGTGAAAAAAAGAAAAACCCACCGAGTGATTGCTTGCCACTTCAAACCGGGGGCACTCCCAAGTCCACCTATCGCACTGCACTTATGAGAATCCAACGGCATTCGCTCAAAGGAATCTGTGGCAAAACTCGATGCGGCTCCGCTTACCTTTTACCTTGGGCACAGCAGGGGCGTCGCACGTGTGGCGGCCGTTTGTCTCGACGGGAGCGTTTCAGAAAGGGTTGGCCGGTGACTCGAAAGTGGCTCTGGAACTTCAACCGGCCTCGCCGATCATGGTCGGAGAAACTAGCGTCACTATTACAAAACATGGTGAGGATTTCACAGTGAATGGGCCCGCAGCCACTTCTGACACCCAACTGGTGATTAAAAAAAAAAAAAAAAACAAAACATCTGTAAACCCCCTTAAGTATCTCATTTCGACGTGGACGTAGTGGACAGCGGCGCTTTCCTCCTTTTTGCGCCGATCTTCAAAGCTTTTCACCCCGCCGGCTTCTCTGTGGACACTCGTGAAAGGATGTTCAAATGGACTTTGGCCGAGGCCTTTCAGTGACAAGGGCACTTGGCTATTAGCGCCGCTTTGCGCGCGGTTTTGAACAATTTAGCATTTCAAAACAGAGGCGGCTCGCTGAAAAACAGCTCATGAACCAAGCAAGAGCTCCAGGTCATCGGCCATAAAGCCATTCTTTTCTTCGCACATTTTGAGCATCCGACGGTACTACACACACACACAGACACACACACACACACACACGCATCTCCAACTGTTCTACGCCCTCGCCGCACTTAAATGCAGGGCCACGAGCGCGATGATATTACGACGCGCGTCTGGAGGACAGGACAAGTCCGATGCAAGCAATTTGGCCACGGCCATCGGAAAGGTCGCAATGCAAATGTCAGCTTTGCCTGCTTCCATCCTAATGACGGTGTCAGCTCGGGCGAGCGTTCATCGCTGTCGTCACAAAGGAAGGCCCGCCGCTCACCGATAAGCTGTGCCAGGCTCTCGCCGCCGCAACCAGGCACGCTGACAGTGCAGAAGGCACGTATTAGCCCACCACCACCACAACAACAACAAGCCACGCGGTGGCTTGAATGTGGACACTTCCAGTTTGAAGCTGACTCGGAGGGGTTGAAAAGTTTCAACAATTTCGACTTTGTCACCGAATTCGGTCACAATTGTAAAGAAAATGAAAGCAGACCAATCCTTGAAAAATGGCGGTAAGAGGGAGCACATGACTCCCACTCTGGCGTCCCTCCGCTGGCTCATTTTCGAGTTCTTCTGAAGATTCTCTTATTTGTTTTCCATTTCTGAAACGGCCTGATGACCCCACCTGACCTCTCGGGGCTCCTCCGCAGCCGCCCGGTGGCTTGGGTCTGCGGACCAGCCGCTATTTGGAGGTCCAGAGAACTAAGCGGAGGCCCCCTCTCGCTGCCCATCTTTCAAATTCGTCTTCAAGCTCATTTTTATTCCTCGGCTTTCGATTCAGCACGTGACTCGATTTGTGGTTGGACCGTTTTTGTGCTTTCTACTGTCTTTGTTTTGTTTGTTGGATGAACTCTCCTTGCTCCAAGTACAGCACTTTGCAAACAGCGGCGGTTTTCGTAAAGTGCCCTCTGAACGGTTGAGTTGAGATTCCCTCCCCATAAAAGAACGGGAAGTGAGGAACCATTCAAAGTTACGAGAATAAGAACAGCACGGCAACAGGAGGCACGAAAAAGTCCCAAGAAGCCGTGCCCCCCCCCCTCAATTCAACGCGACAGACGACATTTTGGTTTGGGTTCCAACTCTTGACGGAATTTGCCCTAACGAGTCCCCCGACTGATGGCCGACGCTCACTCGCCAAGCATTTTTGCCAACGTCTTCATTTTTTTTGCTTTACAAGAGCGACCGCACGGGGATGATCTCAATCTAATGCCCGCACGGGTGCGCTTTCATCTCCCCAACAGCGTTTTACCTTGCGATCCCCTTCCCTGATGATCCATTTGCCTTGAACACAGCAACATTACACCGAGAGACACACACGCGAGGTCACACGCTCTCGGTGAGTCGAGTAACCGGCGGCCGAGGTGGAGAGCGACGACGTGGCCGTGTGATTCTGCACATACATCAAGTCCGCTGAGCAGAAAATTGAAATGGAAATGCGGGCCTTGGAAGAGAACGCCACTCGCGTTTAGTGGGCGACCGGCGCTAATCATTTGTCATTTCTCTCAGGGGCACACGGGAGGTTGAAGCCCCCCCATTTGCTGGTACTCAAGGACCGCCACGCCGCAATGTGGCTACAGTGAAACTCAAGAGTGGAAGGGACGAAATTTACTGCGGGCTTCAAAGTATGAAAACTGCTTGGAGGGCAACGCGTTAGCCTAGCGGTTAGCGCTTCAGCCCGACCGATTCATCGGCCCGCCAATTTAATTGGCCCATATTCTTGAGAGTTGCTTGATTGCCATTCTTGGCTGATTTTTTTTTTTTAAAACACATTACAGCAGTAGATAATGATATTAAATAAAAGGCAGACTATCCAATTTTTCTCTCCTTTTTGTTTTATTGAAGTTGACTCCAGGAAGTGAATGTTCTTTACTGAAGAGATTCTTTTGGAGTTTGTATTCATATCAAATTGTATTCATAACTAAATTGTGGCAGAGTATCGCGGGGGGGGGGGTCTATCAATCCTGCATCAATGTGAAAAATGGCAGAAAAGTGACAAATATCACCGCGAGAGAGCAACCTGGCCACCACGCAGCTCCGCCCACTGTGAGCTGACACCTGCCGGCAACTGAAATCGATGTCACACAGCGCACGGTTCGTTTGCTTGTTGTGATGTCAATTTCATTTCATTTTCCAAAATAGACGGATTTAAAAAAAAAAACAACAAAAAAAAAAAGATTGACTTTGTTCAATGACATACTGGATGGTGGGCTGACACTCCAGAGACCAACTATTAATACACGCGCAATCCATATCGCGTTCTTCGAAAATAGCATCGAGGGTTTGCGAACATCAAAATGACGTCAGTCTTTGATCCCATCCTGCTTTTTGTAGTTGCGCCTTGTTGGGTTTCAAGCCTTTTCTTGAGCTTTCATCGCGAGTCGCGCGTCAGAGACAAAGTGCAATTTGTGATGTCGAATTTATTGCAAGGCGTCGCCGCGGTGAGATTGGCACTGCCGCGTCCCTGCATTTCCCGCGGAGGCTTCCACATATGGAACATTTCATTTCATTATCATGGTGAGGGAGCCCCATTGGGGCTCATCAGGCATTCGGCGTGCGGGAGTCGGACCTGGATAAATTAGGAGCGGCATGTTTGAATGAGGCAAAGATGAATTGCGCTCATTTTTTGGCGCTGGAGATTCCTTTTAAGAGGACATTTAGGAAAAGTGACTTTTTAATGGCTTGTACATTGTTGGGGCCAGCCCACCAACTCGACCAAAATAAACGAAAGTTTATTTTTTTCGGATGAAAACGGATATTGCAGATCCTTTGGGTATTTTCGTGAAAGCTGCGTTTTTTAAAATTTATTATTTGAACCAAAGAATGTCTGATACGGGGCCCTTTAGTGACATGGAAGACAAAAAATATTGTGCGACCGTTGGCAGAGGTTAGTGATGGCGTCTTCACATCCGTTCGAGGTCACATCCGGTCATCCCCGGGTTTTGTGGATTTTGTCGTCGCCAGAAAATTTTGAAGAGGCTCAAAATTTGGGGGCAACAAGAAAAGTATTGGCGACCGTTTGCGAACCCTGATCGATAAATGGACCTCTGTGTTGCAAATGTTATTTGTGGCCCTTTTGCATTTGTCTGTGAGATTTCGTCTTCAATTCAACTGCCAGATTTGTTTTACACGCCTGATTTTTGTAATGTAGGAGGCCAGACGACACAATGTAAAGAAACACTCGCCCGACACATGCAACAGTAAACTAAGAACTCTTTTATTCTTTTTTTTATGTCTCTATCTTCATAATTTTTTTTTTCTTCCCTACACAAGTCCTTCTAAAAGTTAATCGTCATGCGAGGTGCAGCGTTGGTAAATACATGCAAGGTTGTACTGTAGAGTTTGTTGGCGGGCTTTTGGGGCGGGGGGATTTCACACATGGAGGAGGGGGGCCACTGAGCATCAGTGAGAATTTACAAGTGGAGGTGCGAGGAGAATTCAGTCTAGTTCTCGCTGCCGTCGTCTCTCCCTGCCGAACCCGAAACGGGGACGGTTTCTTATGACATCATCGGTTGACATCTTCAGTGCAGTCGAAAGAAGAAAAAGGAGACAACTTGACAAACAGGCAGTCCTTATATACAAAAGAGCTCCGTGGAGACATCTGAAGAACAACAAAGTGTGTGCGTACTGGGACCGGGAGGGGGCGGGGGGCATTAAAGTGACATCACAGCAGACACGGGGTTGGGG